ACCGACCCCAACAACAGACTGTCGAGCTCAATTAATAACTTTATACGAAGGAAAAGCTAGTTATGTAGAAATACGGGGTACAGAAGATAAGCTTGTGGTTGTCGAAAACCAAGATCGAGTATTTGCACTCGCTTTAGTAAAAATAGCTTATACTTGCTACGGGGAAGCTTGGTTAACAGAACATCCGAGGATCTTTGTTCACAATGTGAGCAAGATGGGTAGCATAGAATCCACACGAGGAAATATCGCTGAAAATGTTGATCTGACCGCCTACATAAACAGCAAATTTTTGTATGTCGAGCAAGCGTATAAGAGATCGATGCAGAAATTCTACTTGGACACCGTGTTGCGACGCTGCCTGGTTAAACGGGAAGTGCTAAAGAATAGATTGCTACTGGCTCCCCTGTCTCCGAATACTGTCAGTTCGCTAGTGAAAAATGAATTGGGATACATAGGTCGGGCTATTGGAGAAGTATTATATGTGCTAAAATGCATCCCGAAAAATGTTCAATTGAGAAGAACCAATACTTGTTACCATGAGCTACCGGTAGTCGATGCAGCTAACAACTCGTACTTCATGTCGCCTTTAACTCATGTACTACAAGAGTATGCAGAAGAGGTTGACTGTAACCCTATCACTCCGCCTGTATATCAGCTTGAAGCCTCATGGATAGCATTAACTCCTTACCCTGTGCCACAATCACCGCCAGAGGAGCTTCAGCTCTACTATAAATCACAAATGAAGTTCAGCCCCGTAATGAATTTGGGAGCTGCTGGTATTTACAACCCGGACGATGCAAGAAAAGCCCAAGAAATTTTACATGGGAATATGGAAAGGTCAGCTATCAATAATATACTTATCAGAAAACTACAAGGGAAGAAAACAGAAAATCAAGGAATAGATGCGAGTCAAATATTCGATGCGGAAGAGATGCGCAAATTCGCAAAGAGTACCCTATCAAATGTGTGGGGATGGTTCACGGGAATTGGAATGGCCGTTAGTGGGGTCATAGGATTACTGGTTCTGTTCCGTCTAGTAAAAGGTTTGGCTAGTGTGCTACTAAATGGTTATGCCATCTACAAGACCATGGGGTGTGGAGTCGTTATTTTGGCGAGTTTCTGGAACAATCTAACAATGTGGCTGCTCAACAAGCAAAGCAGAGCTGAGACTACCACACAAACTATGCCAGCTTCTCCAACAAAATCCACAACCGAGGCAGAGACGAGCGAGAGCACCTCCTGTCCACAAATATACCCGAAGCTACCTACAGCCCCCAGCTGGATGGGGACCGGATCCTCGCAATGAAGGCGGTCCTGCGCTCTAGCCACTGATCCGATAGTTGTAGCAGTGGACCTGAGTCGGGGTGAGTGTAATTACGCGATGATGGTTAACGATAAGTGCGGGAGTGATACCTAAAAATTCGATCAGTGCTGTAACAGACCGTAAATTCATGTGTAATAAACAAAGAAAAAAAAAATCTGACTGGTACATGGAAACAGTTAAAGGTGAATTGTGTGTACTAAGATTATCTTGTTCTGTAGTAGGTTAAGCAAAGTGTGGTGCGGTTTGTTATTAATGGTTTCATACAAATAAGGCTAACAGTGGTAGCCTTCTTTCAATAAGGTGGGAGGGATGTAACAAACCGCATCCCACCTGTTAGACGTAAGGAATTTTTATGTAGAATTTGTAGATGTTTAGATGTTTTAGATGCTTTAGATGTTTATCGCGAACCTAGGGTTCGAGTTTTTCTTCTTGCCGCCCAGTAGCAGAGAGTGTAGAAACCTATGGCGTTGGCCCACGGTACAGGGTAAATTTTATTTGGTTTGATATCGCTGAGTTTTGTTTCATGCGTAGACTACACAAAGCTCAGCGTTCTTGGGCCGTGGGAGACATCGCGTGGGGTGATAAGAGCGCTGGGCGGGATAGAGAGACAGGAGGGAAAGACGGGAGCCGCGGGAGTCGACTGAAAAAAACAGAGAGAGTTTTTCGAACGGGCGTTGAGTAAAGTTAGAAAATTTGGAGAAAGTAATTGTTTTGTTTTCAATTTATATTTTTTTGTTTCGGTTTCTGTGTTTTTGTAGTACAAATAAAATTGTGTCTTAAGGAATTATAGCGGAGTGTGAAACGTGGACGTTAGGAATGGCTAGAATAGATTGTAAGTAACTTTAAGATTATCGCGCAGTTAATTGAGTAAATCGTTTTGAAAAGTATTGTTCATTTTTAATACAAAAATGCATTAGTTATTGTTCCCTTCTTTTTTTTTTGTAACAAATTTAAAAGTTAGTTTAATAAAGCAAAATAATAAAAAAAATAATAAAGCAAACACTGCCGGTTAAACAACGAGGTTGTTGATCAAAAGTTGGAATTAATTTTTATTGAAAAAATCTACTAAGATTTGTAATCTTTGTTAGAAATATTTTTGACGTTTAAATGTCAGTGTTTTTCTTACTATTATCATTGTTTTTCAAATAAAGTTTTATCGCATTTACGCTCGTTCACTCGACGTTTCACAATTTTAAATAAAACAATAATAATAGTAAGAAAACCACTGATATTTAAACGTCAAAAATATTTCTGACAAAGATTGCAAAGCCTACTAAGATTTTTTCATTAAAAATTCATTCCAACTTTCGATTAACAACCCTACAGCTTAACCGTTAGTGTTTGCTTAATTAATTTTTTTCTCAGAAACTATTAACTTTTGGAAGAACATCAGAGAGGCAAAAAAGTTTTAGAATATTTTCATCTATCTAAATAAAATATTTCCAATGTATTTATCACCGTCATAAGAAAAATCTAGACAAAAATTGAACGGGGGTGGTTATATTTAGTAACTTAGAAGAGTAGGTTGAAAGTACAAATAGGGTCAAAATGTGCCCTATTATGAGTTAAACATATTCCCCAAATTTCATTTTCCTAGCGTTTATGGTTTTGGAGGAAAAAAGTTAAACCAAAATTTTCCGCCATTTTTGGAGGGGTGTAGCGCCTTAGGGGAGCCGGACTCGCCCATGGTTCATATATCAAAGTACCCTTAAAATTCACTAAAGAATCACCCCTTGAAGATTGTTACAGTCATTCAGATGATACACCCTGTATAGAGAACTATGTGAAAATTTACCACTTCCTCCTTCACCAATTATCACGCGATGGGGAACATGGATGAGAAGCGTGTGTATTTTACGCAAACAATTTTGAAAGCATTAAAAACTGTATATTACATCTGAGGAATGATGCAGCAAGCATTGTACAATGCAAAGAAATTATTCAAATATCAAATTTACATGAACAGTTTAAATATCGCTGCTCCAGTAAAACACGGACACAACTGCAATTTTTTTAGAAAATGAGTTACTCGCGTAAACTAACGCAGAATATTACTATTTATCCGCTAAAAAAACGCCGTACATATACTTGCAGATTGGCTGCCAGAGGGCCGTTACGTCCTTGTCACATTGCGCGAATCTGTCAGCATTGCTCCGTGAAAATACCGACGCATTTATTAGTTGCGTCTTCGCTATCATCTAACTTTGGGAAATATTGCCGTAAATGCTGGTTAGGACTATTGTCGTGATTCATTCTTGCTTATTTTCAGAAGAACACAAGAGGTAAGTACACTTTACGTCTATGTTTTGCTAAGTATAGGTCCTATGAAAAGTCATAACTGTCATAATTATTGTGTGATTCGGCAGAATATAGACGCAATTGTACTTCACGTCTATATTTTTCTGAAAATTATTGTGAACTATGGCCGTAAATGTACTTTACGTCTGTATTACTTTAAAAAGTGTTATGAACTCTGAACATAATTGTACCTTACATTAATATTGCTCTAACAATTTTTCAACTAACCAAGTGACGCAATTATATTAAGACACATTGTAAATTACAGTTTAGGTGCAAAATGCAATATTAAAAGCTGTTTTCTGCTGTAATAAGTACCTGCGGTTTCTGTTGCAGAGAAATGAGTTCCCGAACTTATAAAATATTGAGTATAGCGACAACTTAAGTAGTGAGTAATATCGATGTTCCTTTAATTCCTAATTGTCCTTCCAATGAAAATATACCTCCCAATATATGCTCTAAAACAGAAACCGCTACCGATGAAAATCCTATTAATGAGAATGAATCATTTAACGCTGAAGCCCAAAGTCAGAGCTTTTCTCTTGTTGAAATTTCCAATTCTTCTTCTATAAGTAAGGCTTTAAACGAACATTACGTGGCCGAAAGGAAAAGTACCTCAAAATTGATATTAAGGAAAATAAACCAGAGTTACAAGGTATACTGCGATTCTGAAGAGGAACCATTTTCTGCAGGATCAGGTGATGATTACAACCCTAATGATGGTAATAATAGTGATTCGTGTTCTTCAAGTGAAAGATCAATAAATCTCGAAAATATTGATGTGAATAATGCTAATGATAATGAAGAAGAATCTACGCATTCCCCAGTCAAGAAAGGAAAAAGAAGAATTAAAAATGTGAACAATTGGAAACAAGTGAAAGCAAAACATTTCAGAAACTCAGGTCAACAATACACTTCTTTAAGAACTGGAAAAATTGTCAAAGCTAAGCCCATGAAACCTGCTTGCTCCGATAAATGCATTCGTTCTTGTTCACAAAACATCTCTGAGGATTGTAGAAGTCAACTGTTTAAAAAACACTGGGACTTAGGAAATTTGCAACGCCAGCGAGATTTTCTTGGCTCAGGTATCGAAAAACTGATGCTTAAATATAGGCGAGTTTCATCTACAGAGCCGAGAAAACCAAACTGTGCGTTTTACCTTCACAATAATGAAGAAAAGATCAGAGTATGTAAGTTTTGGACGAACACTTGGGATTTCGGAAAAAGTGATTAGAACTGTGATTAAATCAAAAGTATCTGAGCAGGGATTTATACCAGAAGATCGGAGAGGAAAGCATGGAAATCATAAGAGAATTGACGAAGAGGTAGTAAAATCAGTATTCGATCACATCAATTCATTCAATTTATAGACAGCGGATTAAGAATTGCGGAAATGCACAGGAATTATTGTGAGAAAAGATCTGCTTCGGATCAACCATCAGTGTCATACGATTATTATGCTACTATCTTCAACACAAAATTCAATATCGGATTCTTCGTTCCGAAAAAAGATCAATGCGATCTTTGTGAAAGTTATAAAAATACACTAGACAATGAGAAAATGGAACTGAAACAAAAGTATGAAGAACACTTAGAAGAAAAGGAGCTTAGTCGAAAAGAGAAAGAAAGTGACAAAAGAAGAGCACAAGATGACGAAATTACATTGGCTGTTTATGATTTACAGGCAGTGTTGCCTGTACCTGTAGGACAATCATCAGCATTCGTCTATAAATCTAGATTAAATTGCTATAATTTCACGGTAAGTTATAATTATTTTTCTGAATTAGTTGTTGATATTATTTTTTTTTGTTAGATAACGGAATTAGCCAAAGATACAACAAAGGCATTCTTTTGGCATGAAGTATTTGGAAACAGAGGAGCGATAGAAATAAGAACCTGCACTTTAATGTATTTGGAAGAACTATCAAAAAGCCACCCAGGATCGGATGTAGTATTTTTTTCAAATAACTGCATGGGGCAACAAAAGATTAGGTATAAGAAGACATAATTATGAAATTTCCAAACATGTTTATTATCTCCGAATGTTTTAGATTTCTTATTGCAACCTATATCTACGCAGTAGAAAAGTTTCAAAGTTTTAACTGCGCTCTGTTGACTAGTTGCGATGTAGAACGATCGTTTTCAATATTTAACACTATTTTTACATCTCGAAGAACGTCTTTTTACAGACACACATTTGGAGATGATGGTATTACTTTGTGTAAACAGCAATTATAAATTTAATAAAATCGAAAATGAACAATACATTTCGAATTTTTTATTTTTATATTATTTTTTTTTATTTTATATTTATTTTATTTTATATATATTTTTTTTATAGTTCTTCGCTAAGGTACGCTCTTTTAAATTCAATTTTGAAACGCATTTATAATAGATTGATCAAAAGCGGCAACACGGTACGTCGCTTGACGCGTCGATGCATGCTGTGTTAATTCCGTATGAGCATGCGTTAACCATAAATTTAGTTCAAACTACCGCCACTTTACGCACACATACGTACAAATACTCATACATACGCATCAAATCAAAACGTCATCATAGGAAGTATAAAATCAATCAAATTTTGTAAAATTTTGAGTGTAAAACTAACCGAAAAGTGACTTATTTGTGGCGTGTTGGAATTATTGAAAGGAGATTAGTGTTATTAGTATTAAGATTAATTAAAGAACTGAGGGCATTCCGAATTGAGTAAGTAAAATAAATTAATATTATTTAAAAAATAATTTATAACAAGTTATTTTTTGCATGTAGAAAAACCAAATAAAGAACAAAAGATTTAAACGAAATAGTGGAGTAAGGACATTGTGAAAACTTCGTGGAAAAAAACTACCTGAAAACGAATTTAAAAAATTTTAGGCGTGTTTAAATATCTAAAATTGTTTACTCGTGTTCGATCTGTTGTTTGAGTACTATTAGCAAAATCATTTGCTTCTTCTGTATTATCGTCAAATTCTACAACATCCTTTGAAGAACATGAAGACATGAATGAAGATGAAGGTGAAGATACAGGCGAAGATGTAGTCAATCAAAGCGAAATTGTTGCGAATACACACGCATACATTTCTGGCTCGAAAAATATTACAAAGATTGAAATGTAACACATGCCGTAGTGATTTTATATCACAAAGAAGTAGTCATGGAATACTTATAGAGGAGCGTGCCTATACCCCACAGGCGCTGTTGCAGCCAAGCGATAAGCTACAGGTGTTATTTTCAGAAGGCACCAAAATAATACATAACAAGTTACCGAAAATAGCTAACCAGCGTTCTATTAAAAAGAAATTAATTTTTTATTTATCAAAAATGGAAAATCCGAAATTTAATTGTACGGAACACAATTTATTTAAAATTTTTTGTAATATGTTTGTTAAATTTTATGTACATATGTGGGTGAAAAACATAAACGCTATCTGGAAAGGTTATGACAAGAGAAATGTTAACGATCCTCTAAACATTAAAGCTTTAAAAAAGTGCGACACTCTTCGTGCAAAAAAACGAAAAATTGCTGAAGTTAAACAATTACAAATTTAATGTTTTTTATTTATGTTATTTTTAATTACCTACTTAATTTTACTTTCTTTTTTGTAATTTTTATTTCATCATTTTGTTTCTTAATTTAGTTTATTTTATTTTTTTGTTTCTATTTTAACATATTTTTTAACTTAAAATTGTTTTTGACTTAACAAAATTTCGTTTTAAAATTGTGTATGTTGAAATTTTGCAGAAACAAATTCTCTATAAACAAAATTAACAATTTTTGCTTATAGTGAATTTGTTTCTGTAAAATTTTATCATGCATGGTTTTAAAACAAACCAAAACCTAATTCTAAAGATTTTTAAAATTCCCGGGTAAAATGCTACCGCGCTACTAGCGCTAAATGAGGGCTAGTCTGAACTAAAAACAGCGTTTCATTTTAAGGTGGGGAACCCACCATCTATATTAGTATATTTATATATTTAATCTATGCGTCGATGTCAAGGTATTCGTTTCGGGTAGAGGGCGCACGTTTCCTAAACTGTCCGGGCTCTGCACATTATACTTTTTGATAGGAGAGCCCCATAAATACTCGATTTTGGTGATATTGACTCGTAGTTTTTCATATGAAGGACTTTAAATAGCGATAATGCCTAATATTTGGTAAAAACCTTTATAATATTGAAAAACTATCAAATACCAAATTAAAATCAAAAATACCTTTCGTACTAATAGTTATCGATTTTTTTCAGAAAACGGGCTTTTCTGAACCACTGTGCGACGCGGAACGAGATACGCATAACAAGTGTTCACGTTATACTAACTTACTAGTGTATTTTCTACTTATTATTTGGCAGAATAAAAGTTATTTTAAATACAAGTAAGTTTTACTACGCATACATCTCTGTTACGACATAACAATGCCCCATAATTTTAAATAAAACTCGACATTCCTTAATATTCCCTGCAGAAACGTGTTGAATAGCAAATTAATGAGTATTAATTCATTAAAGAAAAGTGCAGATACCGCCGAACATCTAATCAGGCCAGTAAGAAAAATTGAAACACATTCTTAAAGAAAATGAAGGGTTATTAATAATAAATTATCCAAAAGATTGTTCATTGAAGACATACAAAATGGAGCCAACAAAAAGTGTTTGCACATACACAAATGATCAATAAATAGATCAATTTGAGTAAACACAAAAAGAACTCATGTCTTTTTCACATAACATTTGATATCCAATCACATACCACATGTGTAAAAATTCAACTAAATCAGAATGAAAGTAATAATAATGCAATAGAGGCTCATTGAAAATAAATTATTGTATAAAAAATTTATGTTCAATGAAGACCAACCAAAAACGTTTGCACATACACAAATGTTTGATATCCAAAGAACTGGGTAACCTCAAAAAGAACCCTTCTCTCTCTCACAAAACATTTGTGTACCTAATCACAGGCGACATATAAAAAAGGCTGATAACAGTGAGGGTCGTGTGAGGTGGTTAAAATAAGAGCAATGAGGACTCTGGCCAGTTTAATCAAGTCTAATAAAAAATAAAGCACTTAAATAAAGTCGTTGTCATATTCAAGTCAAAAAGTCTTAACACACAAGAAAATAAGAATGAAAGTGGTAATAAGTTCAAATTGAAAGAACTCTATGCATATAAAAAACAATTCCTAAAGAATCGTCGATACTTTAAAACACTCCTCACACAAATGATGTTGATGTTGTTTTGAAACTCTTTTCAAACATTGTTAAATCTTAAATATTCTATCAACATTGTTAGTTGTTCTATTTTTTCCAAGCCATTTTCTATAGTATTTTGAATTATACCTGCACTATAAAATTGTCATATTTAACTATACAAGATTATAAAAATGAACCAAAAGAAACTTGTTCTGTGTAAAGAAGGAATAAAATGACATTTTCTACATTTTTCGTCACTTAGCTTGCTTTGTTGTAAAGGTAAACTTGCAATAATATTAGAAAATCACGAAAATGCTGATACTTCTTTCTAATTAATATATTATGGATCAATCAGTTTATCATTGCTTGATACAACCAACTTGAATTTCTTCACATGTGGTAATTCTTAAAAATGGACTTATCCAAAAACAGTATTTTCCAAAAATATTGATGTTTAACAGTACCACTTCTTATGCCCTGTAACAAAACTGTGTGATAATTACATCATTTTATTATTTAATGATCAAAAATGAAATACATCAAGTATAGGTTTTTGACTTGATTATTTTATTTATTGTTGTTCATAACGTGGACCTTTTTATATAAGGTTATATAAAAAAAGGAAAACTTGATGAAACAACCTATATATAAATAAGGTACTTCGCTATTAAGAGGATAAATGATAAAAATTTGTACATCAAAATAATTAAAATTATAGGAATAAGAATGATTACTTTTAAACAATTATAATCCTTTGGATTATAATTGTTATTTCTTCTTTCTGGAATTTGACTAGTCCTTTGCTTGCGATTATACCTTGATCTTCAGAATTTTCTTATTCTTCTCGTTGATGAAAACAAATTTTTTTAGTAGCAAATTATATATACATAAATATGATTGAAATTTAAATTTAATTTAATACTATTAACAAAAAAGATAAGATTGATACTTACTTTTGTTAGGAATCAAAATTCCATTTACACCATTTCATCCTTTTCTTTATTTCATATTTGTTGATTCAATTATAACTACCCAAGAAACTTATGACATTTCTGTTAATTTGATATTTTAAAACTGGTTAACATTGTAATCAAATTTAACCTAAAGCTTCCACAAAACGACTTCTGTAAAGAAAAGCAAAGCGACATGTTCTTGGCCGTTCTTGGTCAACACGTCAACTTCAACGGTTAATGGAAATAACGAACAGCGCATTGGTTACTACATTCATTCTAGTTCAGTTTTAGCTTTTCAATAACAGATGGCACGCTGTAATAATTTAAAATAAAGTCGCTACATTATAATATTATAACTAAATTAAATTATTATAATATTATATTTATTATTATATTAATTTGAAAATATTAGAAAAGAATTTTTTATACTTATCGATTTGTTGATATTACTTTTATTATAATAATTTAGCTACAGGTATCTTATAAAAGATGGCGCTATTAAATTTAAAATTTATTATCCCAATTTTATTATTTACGGGGAGAGGAAGTAACGAAGTACTCATAATGTTAAAACTAATAGGTATTATTCAATTCGGATGAATATCCTCCAAAGTAGTGAAATTAACTTGATATTTGTTTCATTAAGTCAATTTATTCATTAACAAGTCAAGCTTTCGGACATCCACGAGTTATACGGTTGGCTGTAGGTTTAGCTACCGTATCTTTTTTTGGTTGGTGCTGGTTGGGTTTTCCATAGAAAGAAAACGCTTCAATTTCTTTTAAAGAAGAAGTTTATTCTATAAAGGATCTTGAAGAACTAAAACTATTACAATATTTTCTTATTATGTTAATTCTGAAATATTACTGAAATTACTACGATAAGACATTCCTCAAGTGTCCTCTTATACCATGTGAATTAACGTCTGTCATTAATTCACAGGAATGCGTAATACTACCGGGATCACGTGGTTATCCGTAGGCCGCTGCCTATGGGTGTAGAGTAGGGTTGCCATCCGTCCCGGTCATAGATAACTTATATAGATGTGACATTTACGTAAAATTTTTGTACACAGCACCAGCGCTCCGAACGGCTCGGACCAATACTAATATTAAATAGCGGCTAACGTGATAAATCTTAAATATAAAATTTTCTAACTTTTTTGTGTTGAATTAAATAAAAAAATAAAAGATATTTGTGTATTTTAATAATCTTTTTATTAAAATTATTATCATAACCATAAAGTCTTATTTTAATATAAAAGAACAATAACTATAAACAATGTGTAATAATCTAATGATTAATGATACTGTTAAAAATTTTACGAAGTGATTTAACTCTTTCGATATAAGATGAAATATTACCGCGAAAAAGTGGTAAATTTAACTAAATTCTAATAGGTTGCAACACATTTGAATGTCAAAATAACTTTGTTAAAAGATGTTAAAAATACGGTGTTAATCTGTTTATTCCTCACAGTGTAATTTACACTTTTCAACTCTGCATTATGATTAAAAGTAGAATACAAATAATTCGATGTAAACTAACTAAATTTAAAATTGTATTAACCCCGCTATGTAGTTTTCGTTGTGGTCACATGATCTATCACGTGATTCTTCTACAGTATTGGCAATTTTTAGTCGAAGCAAGTCGCAGCATGCACAAACGTTATTAAATCGTGGATCATTAATTTTTAAATATTTTCTATATTTTTATTAAAATGTATGAGTGGTGCATTCGCGTAAAGTATGACCGAAAGAAGAGAGTTAAGTTAAGTGGGCAAGAATTGGCTAAACAATTGATTGATGAAGCGGGTAAGTATACTTTACTTATCAAATCATTATTTTATACTCTACCTATTAGATAGAATTGCTCGATAAATTCATACTATTTGCACTATTACTGTAAGTTTTACAACGCCGTTGACGAAATTCTTGCATTTCTGTTAAAGTATTTGTCGAGGTTGCTTTCGAAAAATAATAATTATTGTTCTAAATCCACTCACCACAAATTAACCGGACATTTGAATTTTTCAAATCATTTTTTTCTTAATATTGTGTGTATTTAGGTTGCATAATAATAAACATTTTGACTTTTTAGGTTGCTTTAAATTTCCGATTAAAATTTCAAAATTTTGGAAGGCAGAAAGGCAAGTTTCCGAAATATATCGATAAACTATTTAAAACGTACACTTCTAATATTCAAAAAGAACCACCGAAAGGTAATAACTAATAACAAATGAATTGTTTATGCGTTCTGTAAATGTTATTTTTCAGGTTGAGATAAGGATACAAATGCGATTTTAACATTATTTCACTTATCACCACCTATCGCAATGAGAAGAAGATGGGCGAAAAAGGTATCAATTACTGAGATTCAAAAATTAATATGTTTTCATGATGTAAGTTTTTACTATACAGGTAAACGTCGTTTTGCGCCGGTTCGATTTACACCGATTCACAATTACGCCGGTTGGTGCCGGCGTGGGATTCCCCGGTTCGCCCGACATCAGACGACAGTAGGCAAAGAATATTCAATTTGTAGTTTCATTATGGACGACAATAGTGATTCAGAACCCAAACATCGTGCGTAAAAAGCACGAAAAACAATAAGCCTGGAGACAATTACAAAATAGACGTAATTACACGCATTGAAGATGGCCAAACCCGACCTTTTGTCTGTAGAGCTCTAAATTTACCTCCGTCCACTGTGACAACAATTATGAAAAACGCTGAGAAAATAAAACATTCCACTCGACAGACAACGGCTGTAAGTGTAAAGAACCTAACTTGCAGCCACAACAAAAATATAGAGAAAATGGAAAAAATGTTGGCATTGTGGGTTGATGATGTCAATCAAGAAAATATTCCTGTAACACGAATAATCATATGCGAAAAAGAACTATTGATTTTTCTGATTTGAAGACGCAAGAAAACACTGACGAAACTTTCTTGGCAAGCACTGGGTGGTTCACGAGATTCAAATCTCGAACCGTAGCACTAAACTAAGCGGCGAAGCAGCGAGCGCTGATGTAGCAGCAGCAGCAACTTACCGTCAAAAGTTTCAAGAAATTGTGGAATAAGGGAGTTACCCTGCAGATCTCATCTTCAATTTTGATGAAACAGGCCTCTATTGGCAGAAGTTGCCATCGAGAACGTTTATTTCGCGAGAAGAACGTAGCACTCTTGGATTTAAAGCCGCCAAGGATAGACTGACTCTCAAAGTATTTCTCAAAAAGTTTTTACTTTGACATAGATCCTATTTTATAGACTGACTGTTCTCTTGGGACCAAATGTTTCTGGTTCCTTAAAATTTAAGCCAATGGTTGTCTACCATTCCCAGAATCTACGGGCTTTTAAAGGTCTTGACAAAAGTTCCCTGCCAGTTTTTTTGGAGGTGGAATAAAAAGGGTCACTCAGAAGATATTCACAGACAGGTATAAAAATTATTTTTGCCCTACTGTGCTTAAATTTTGTGACCAAAATAACCTTCCAAAGAAAGCAATCTTGACGCCTTAGACACGGGATTGGACGTCAAGGTAATTTACATGCTCTGTAACACAACCTCCGTTTTACAACCCATGGATCAGGGGGTAATTTCTACCTTTTAACGTATCATTTGCGGATAACATTAAAAGCACTGATTAAGGGCCACCTCTGTATATAGGATATGTATAAATAAACATGTTAGATTGTTCAGATTGACATGAAACCTAACCTTATATCGTCCATTATATTTGTGTTCATTTTACGCCGATTTTGTTTATACCGGTGTCTCTCGGAACAGAACCCTGGCGTAAAACGACGTTTACCTGTACAAATTTGGTTTCTTATAACACAACTGCCTAATGTAATGATATTGAACTTTTTTTACATATATATTATTTTTTTTTTCGTTTTATTTTAGCAATCTCCATTGCTTGTTGAAAATATATTGCCTTTGCCTTGCTTTTTGAGGAGCGGTTCTCCCTCCCTACCATTGTTAAATTCACTTGTTTAACATAGTTGTGAATAATTATCGCAATAAAATGCGTTAAAATTTTATTTAGTATTGATGTAGTGTGTTCACACTTCTCTAAGTCAAATACTATATTCTTCTTAACAGTTTCATGTATTCTTGTCTTAATATTTCTATTGTGTAGATGATTGCCTAACACATATAATATTATTTTGTATGCCAAAAATAATTTATCCATAAAACTTTTTTTGACATATAATAATCTTCGCTTTTCCACATTGTACTCTTTTTCTAGTATAAGTTTGTACATGTCTACCGATGACGCGTTTGATTCTATGAAGTTATACTTACATAAAATACATTGCTTAATGGATGGATAAATTTTTTTCAGTATGTATCCGCTTACATACGCAAGGATGGCCTTCCTTGCAGGATGATTTGATAGGCAACCTTCTGGAATAATAAATTCTTCCCTTGTTTCTTCAGCCTCCGAATGTGGCGACTGAAAAAAATATTTAATTGAATGTATAAGAAGTAAGCCTTAGGGCCGGTACGAAATAGTGATGTAGATTTTCAGGAAACTAGAGTACTCGTACGACGAATACATGAATGCAGTGAATAAACCCATTTTTACATTTATGTGTATGATAAGTTACAGGTTAGTTTGTTAGAATAAAACGACCCTTAGTATAAAAAAAAATATATATATAATATTACCTGAGTAACAAACGTTTTTAATGTAAAAAACAATTCGGAATTGTCGTTCTCACAATTCTTCCCTATGGAATGGGATGACGACATGCCATGCATTAAAATACTTCTGTATATATTTAAAAAATGAGTTGGAGTTGGATTATTGTACCTGTATCCAGCCATCCTCACTTTAGCGAAAAAATTTTCTAGTGGATCTTGATTGGCTGTTCGTGGGTAGATTATTTTAAAATTTAATTCTGTACATTTTTTATAATACAGCCGAAAATTTTTTATTGTTAAAATAAAATTTTTAATGGATGGTGGTGTAGAACGTCTGCCATTAGGAAAATGAAATGTCATTGAATCAAGAACCTTTAATGCTGTACTCCAAAATGAATGGTGTTCTGATTTATTTGAAACCCCCTTCCTTAATGGTTTAGAGTTGTTGTATTGTGACCATTTAAGCTGTCGAAGAGGGAGTCAAAGAATAAACAGCATTGTGCCGTTCCTAATGCAGACTCATCTAATTTCATGGTTTTGACTCCACCCAATTCTTCATTATTTTCAACAGTCCACCCTAAAATATGCATAAAGTCAAAATGTTTAAATATTTATCGTCAATCTCAACCCAAATTAAGTTATATGTTTGTAATGAAAAATAGATTTAACTTTTAAAATATTAACTTGTGTCCTCACTTTAAAAACGTGTATTTGAAAAGATATTGAAGCTTCTTCTGTACAAATAAATGACATTTTTAAATTCGCTTTAAAAATCAGAACAGAAGGTAGTATAACTAATGTAATGTTTACCTGATTTTACATATATATTTATAGCTGTAGCTACTGTTCTACTAAATATTTGTGCGCAATTGCTCACTTTCATTTTTTTAAATTTTTCCGGATTTACATGATCTTCTGTAATTTTGGTTAGTATTCGGAATTCTCCCATATGTGGGTCCATTTTATAGATTTGTGTAATATCTTTCCATTTAGCAATCTAAAACAGAAATACCAATGAATAATTGTGTGAAAAGTAATGACAAGAAGAAATAAATGTTATTTGATGTTTACTTACATGATGTACATGATCCTTCTTAAAATGCAAATCTGCTTGCAATAAATTATTTCTGACGCCTTTCAGTAGATGAGGAACGTCAAAAAGTGGTATTATTTTTTGATTGCCTACTTCAAACACATAATCGTACAATTCCTCACCCTGTTTAACATATTTTTCTTTCGTTTCATTCACTAAACATTTAATTGCACTACTATTATTTTGGCCTTGGTCACAAACTGTGGCGACAATGTGTAATCCAACTTCTTCTACTGCCAATACAATTTCTTTTATTATAGTTTGGATTTTAACAGCAATTGTAGCACTTTTACTGAAATTGAAATAAATTGGCTGCTTCCATTTTGAGTGAATGCCACGAAGCATAAACACCTATAAAAAAATAGAATCATACCTAAAATCGTTTTTATATAGTGATATATTCACTCACCTGAACATGGTTGGCAATTTTATTTGATCGCTCTAGACCATAATCTTCAAATCCATATACTACATCTTCCGTAGTGTTATATTGTAAATGTGGTTGGATGCTCATTTCATCAAACAACAAAATACAGAATTTATCCTTTTCGTTGGTGAAATATTTAACTGTTGTTTGAATTAAATTTAAAATTGCTTGATGTAGTCCTGGCCGTAGAGGAACATTCTTTAAAACCCTTTGCACTGTCCTTTTGGATGGCAAGGTGAAGATATCTCCTAACACCTTATACCCCTTTCCATTTTGTAGCATTAAATGTAATGCCAATATTTTGTCATCAAGCGTATAACGCCTCCCCTGCAACTTTCTTCCTTCGTTGTCGTATTGGCTCAAAAAAAAAGTATTGTTTTAGTCTGTCTAAACTTGAAATTGACTGCTTAAAAAGTTGTCTCTTTGGTAATAATTTTCGTTTATTTATTTGGGTTGTTATACACTGGCGCTGGAATTTCCTCTTATACATCACTGCTTTCCTGTATAAATGTTGGGCTTTTGGTGATAAATCGTCTTGTTTGTGGACACCAACTTCCTCCAATAAACTCTCCCTTTGTTTAGCTGTCAAAAAATATCGGAATGAAATTATAAATATATACAGTAACGCCCAGCTTAACCCATTAAGGTCACCGTTCAATGGCCATTTTTATATGGGCCTATATAGGCCGATAGAGGTTGCTTTCTAACACATTTATGACTTTCTGCCAAATTATTACAGAAAAGTAAATACACAGGATTGAAGTACACATATTGTAGTAGTGAATGACATAATTTATTTTATAAAATAGTTGTTATATTAACAATAATAAATTACTAAACTTTGTCATAAAAAGGGTGTAATAAAAACTGACTTTTATGACAAATTAAGCACTTAAACAAGGTGACAATGCTTCATTCACTAGATGTGTAATATAAGAAGAGATTCCGTGACAGTACAAGTATAATAGATTTGTTGTTATCTCAGGATTGTGTTTTATCTAAAAATGTGCAATTTTCACGTAATTATTGAAATATGTAAGGGAATCTACTGAACAACCTAACTTTGGTATTTTGGCAACCGTCTTATAGATGGCGATATTTAAAGAATAAAATATTGCTTTATTATTTTAACTTTGAACAGTTTCGTGATGTATTGAATGTTGTGGGATTGTTAATAGATTTTATTTTCCCAACATAATTAATAAAACATTTAATCAAAATTAAATTAGTCAAGCAGTTTTATACACGTGTGTCTTCTATGAGTTTATTGAAAGGAATGAATAATTTTATATAATAACAAATTTTTGTTGCCAAGATATATTTTTAAAAAAACAAGGTCCCTAAATCTTTTTGTTTGACGAAGGAAAAATATATGGTGGCATCTTGGATTTAGGAAATGGATTTTGTAGATATGACACTACAAATACTCCCCCTTCCAAGAAGAAATAAGGTTAACAATGAAATGTAAATCAAGTAGTTATAAATATTTCAATTTTGAAAACGTATTCTTAAAGATTTATTTGGAATTGAATTTTGATTAGAAGCAATTTCAAGTTTATCGTTAGCTATAAATGCTTATGGTTATCACTATAGCAACATTAACTTTTAAATACATACATTAGTTTCAGATAGAACAAAAAGAATTTTTGTTAATTATTCAATAACTATAAGAAATATACCCAACAAACTATATACAGGGTATATAGTTTATAACAGTAAGAAAACCACTGACATTTAAACGTCAAAAATATTTCTGACAAAGATTGCTAAGCCTTCTAAGATTTTTTCTTTAAAAATTCATTCCAACTTTCGATTAACAACGCTACAGCTTAACAGTTAGTGTCTGCTTAATTAATTTTTTTCTCAGGAACTATTAACTTTTCGAAGAACAACAAAAGTTTTAGAATATTTTCGTCTATCTAAATAAAATATTTCCAATGTATTTATCATCGTCATAAAAAAGATCTAGACAAAAATTGAACGGGGATGGTTATGTTTAGTAACTTAGAAGGGAAGATTGAAAGTACAAATAGGCTCGAAACATGCCCTATTATAAGCTAAACATATTTCCCAAATTTCATTTTCTTGGTGTTAATGGTTTTCGGGAAAAATAAAATAAACCAAAATTTTTAGCCATTTTTGCGTTGGGACACCTGTACAGGAAAAAGCTGTGCTCTTACATATAGAAGATCATAATTTTTAGTAATTTCTCCATAGTCCATCATTCTGCGTACCTTGTTGTCTTATTAAAAGAGCAAACTTTACGGAGTCTTCAAGGATATCGAATGAATTTTTGGTTCACATTTCGTCTAAAAAAAAATCCCTTTTCACATTGTTTTAAAACTACCAAACCGATTGGAATAAGTATTAATTCCATTTATTGGCTATACAATACTCTTTAGTTTGATGAATAGCACGACCAACTCGGTCATCTCTAACTCGAGATTTGCTGCAAATAATCAAATTACCCCTAAAAAAAATCATATCTCCAAAACGTATCCATAGAAAAAATTTTAAATGTGATTTTTGGGTTTAGGGGACCAAATTACATAAGAAAAATACAGTGGCGTCAAATGTATATTTTATGTTTTTTTTTGTAGACTAGTTAAAATAATAAAGTTTTTTTGAAAGCGTTTAATAACTTTAAAAGGGCCTTCAAACCTCAAGATTTCGCAAACCAAAAGGCATTCGAACACCAAAAAAACACGAAAAAAACACCAAATAATATCGAGAATAGGAATCGCGTAAGACTACACCGGAATATATTCTCCAACGAATAAAATCATTCAACGGTAGGATGACTAATTGTAAGCTGATATAAAAAAGCGTCGCTATGAATAACTGAATTGAGCTCAGGACGACCTCTTTTAACCAACAGCGGAACTATACAAATTTTTTTTGCACTTTTGCGAACATCACGTGATTGAACGGCGACCTTAACGCCTAAGGATAATTGCACCCATCCTTAAATGGGGATTTGTTAGAAAAATAAAGATTAGTATAGATCACGCCAATAATGATCCCGATTAACGCTGTTTCCCCATTAAGTGGGGTTTCCCTGTAATATAAAATCAAACTTTAAAAAAATTATACTACATTCTTTTGTAATAAAAGGGAAATTAAACGTTTTTTGAATGATGTTTCATTTATTAATAAATAACTCTTATTACGAGTTATAAGCCATTATAGGTAATTTAACCATATAGAAAATAAAAAATGGGGAGCTTTTCAAAATAAACGATTTATAAAACACATAATTTCTTACCTGGAGTCTCCAATGAAATTGCACTGGTGGATGTTGAAGCAATTTGAACTCCTATATCTGCATGTGGAGTAGTGGGCGTGTTATTCGAAGCCTTTGAAGTACTGACTTCTAAGTACTGATATCCTATATGTGAAAAAAATATGCCTCAGTCCTAACAACATTTTGATAATTTCATACACATACCTGGTAAATTTAACGATGGTACTACTCCTTTTAACAATTTGTTGTTACGTCCTACATCCTCTCGTCGAAAATGCTTCTCACACACTCGAAAATTATTATAAACCCTCAACTGTTCATACTGAAGCAGGTCTTCTCGCCCACAACATAAAACCCATCTTTGATACATTTCTGGATACATTTGTGGGTTTGGAAATCGGTAAAAACTTCCATACCTTTGTATGCATCCACTAATGGCGCAACCTTTTGACATTTTCTGCTACAAGAGAATAAGATACATATATATTTATTTTACAAATAGGTACCTAATCCAGTTCCATAATCAGTGTTTAAATTTTAAATTTCAGAGGTTTTTTATGAGTATTGGTTTCCATATTATTTTAAGGGCAACTTATATTTAAAAATTGATTATGAAACTGGAGATCATAATATATGAAATGAATAAAAAATCAAATGTACTTACCACGAATAAAATTTCGTAAATTTCGTAAAGTTTCTAAAGTCTTTAAAAAGACTGCTCGTAATATACGGAATATAACTTGCAAAAATCGAAAACTAAACTATCAAACACAAAGCCGCATCAAAACACTAACCAACTTGACAAACAACTTAGAAAACAGTAGAAAAACAAATTGACGAAACGACTACTTGAATCCTAAAATATTTTTAATTTAAACTGCCAAGATAAAGTAGATATCTACATNAACTTAGAAAACAGTAGAAAAACAAATTGACGAAACGACTACTTGAATCCTAAAATATTTTTAATTTAAACTGCCAAGATAAAGTAGATATCTACATAATATAACGCAATATAACGCCATCTATCCCGTCGGTCCGATACTAAAAATGACGTCACTTTGTACAAACACGACGTTAATAAGTGCCAGGGGTATGGTCCCGGTACACCGGGACATGTCACCTGTTTGAAACTTCTGTCCCGGTTGAACTACAAAATGTCCCGGTAGATGGCGATGTTAGGTCTGTTCCAACACACGAAGAAAACCGTTCCAGAATCGTTTATTATAATAGACCAACTATTCTATGAACAGCACTGCGTATATGAATTACATCTCAGAATACCCTGCTTTGTTATAAAAACCGTTCTGGGACGGTTTTCTTGGTGTGTTGGAACAAACCTGTTTTAATAGATTTAATGACAGCGAGTGAACATGCGTGCGCGCACTTTGCTGGCTGCGCCCATTTCTACAATTATTCCCGAGCGTTCATTGACGCACATTCAGTAATATTTAATCGAGCAACCGTGACGTTATTGTTTATAGTATTGTGCAGCGATTAGGATATTGTCTCAACGACGTCTGATACCAAAGGACTAGGTGTAAGTTTATAATTATAATGCCAAAACGCAAGTGCCATTTCTCGGATAATTACACGAAAGAGTGGACGTTTATAAAGAAAGGTAGAAGTGAATTCGAAGCGCACTGCACAGTATGTAATTTATTTATTTCCGTGAGCCATAGTGGTAAGACTTCGATAGAAGATCACATCAAATCTAATGGGCATAAGTCTAACTTGTCGGCAGCTTCTACTTCACGAGATATTTCATCATTCATGATTAAAGAAAACACTCCAGAAGATACTTTAGTGTGTGCAGCAGAATTAACAACAGCTTACAAAGTTATTAACCATCATTATTCTTTTAATTCATTAGACTGCAACACTAAATTGAACGCGATCTTATATCCTGATTCTAAAATTGCTGCGAAACAGTCAACTGCACGAACAAAAGCTACAGCAATAATAAGAAACATATTGGCACCACACTCTGTACAAAAAGTAAAAGAAGAAATTGAAACAATTCCTTTTTATGGAATTTTAACCGACGCTAGTAATCATAACGCTGAAAAGTTGTTTCCTCTTCTTATACAATATTTCTCAGAAACCAATGGTATGCAGCTGAAATTAATTAAATTAGATACTTTAGAAAATGAAACTTCAGATACAGTAGTCACCTTCTGCATAAACACACTTAATAATTTAAATATCTCATTAGAAAAGCTAGTGGCGTACAGCGCTGATAACACAAATGCAAATTTTGGGGGACGAGAGAGGCACGGGGTGAACAACGTATACTTTAAACTGAAATCAAATCTCTCTAAAGACATCGAAGGCATAGGTTGTCCAGCTCACATAATACATAACACAGCATCCACATCTGCTGACGTACTGTCTATTGATGTGGAATCAATAGTACTGAAGATTTATAAGTATTTTTCTATATTTACAGTACGCAATGAACGTCTCAAATCGTTTTGTGAAGCAGCTGATGTAACTCATGCTAATTTACAATCTCACTCAAGAACTAGGTGGTTGTCATTGTTACCGGCAATTGAGCGTATTTTGAAGCTGTGGGAACCATTAAAAAAATTTTTTTTGGCAGAAACCAGACCGCCAAAAGCAATAGTCGATTTCTTTAATCACCCATTGTCACAAGTTTATTTTCTGTTTTTACACAGCCAATCATTTTTATTTGAAAAACAAATTAAAAGAATAGAAAAGTCAAATATAACAGTTATTGAAGTTAAGGAACTCATAAACTGTCTCGAAAACACACTTTCAGAGCGAGCTTCAGCTAAATTTTTAGGAATCCAAACAAAAATTGAATATGACAAGATAAAAAATATTCCTCAGCATTCAGATTTAATAAAATTGTGTGACGAAGAAATTGATAATTATTACAAAACGGCTTTGGAATATTTACAGCGGTGGAGTCGTCCACTCACAAAGTATGAAGTATTTTCATGGATGATTCTTGCTGCTCCACCGCAGTGGCATGATGTTGAAAAAACGGCAAACTATTTACAAGAAAAGGGAGTAATTATTGGCGATAACGTATTTGAAGAAACGTTATACTTGAAAGATTTTATACAAAAACGTAAAGGTAATGAAGATTGGCAAACAAAAGACATGCATGAAAAATGGTTAATTTTCTTCCAAGAAACAGATGTGTTAGAAAGGAAAAAGACATTATTATTAATGTGCCAATACCTTTACGCCATCCCTGGACATAACGCCAATGTCGAAAGGATATATTCTTTAATAACTACACAGTGGATGAAAGAACGTAATCGGCTGCAAATAGAAACTGTCGAAAGTATAATTCAATGTAAATACAACTTTAAAATGAGCTGCTCAGAATTTCATAAGTATGTAATGGGTAAGCCGGACCTGTTAAAGCAAGTAAAAAAGTCTGAAAAATATAAAAATAATTAATATTTGTTGCATAATTATTTAGTTTTGGATCGTTTAAATAGTCATTTAAATCAAAACTTACGTTGTACGTAATTATACGTAATTGTAAACCGATTTATTAGTGATTTAAATAATAAAAGAAAAAATGAAATTGCCGAGTTTTTTTTCTAGTTGTCCCGGTCAGTACTTACACTATTACGGCAACCCTAGTGTAGAGGGTGTTCACCGCACAGGAGTGGCTCATTGAAGAGGCGGTATTTTAGTTTATTGTAAGCTGAATTAACTATATATACAAACGCAATTAACACGTTAAACGCCACCATAACGAAAAAAAATTTTGTTCTGTGGGCCACAATACCAAATAAGTTAAATATGGCTGGTTCAATATTTAAAATATTTGTTGTTAAATTTCATCCTCATTTTTAGATTTTTGCAAATTTTTTGATATCTCGGATGCACCACATGGCCCAAATAAGCATTTCTACCTGACGGCCATGTGATGCACACTTGCTTCTCACTTCTTCAATGTGTGTAACAAATCAAATCTTGTCGATACTTGTTTGATCGCTTTTTACTATCAAACACGTACTCGATGGTTTAATGTTCAGTATTTAGTCGACTGTTGAACGAGATATAGTTTTATGCATAATGTCGTACGAACATGAAAGGGAGCGTCTTCAAAATTTGATGGAAGAATTTCTATCGAGAGAAGACAGTGATTGTAGTGTTAGCGATAAAGATTATGAAGACTCGGATGACGACGAAAGTTCCAGTAGTTCGTCACAAGAGGTTTTACAAAGAAAAAACGCAAATCAGTGCTAAATAAAGATATGCCCTCAACGTCAAAAACTGGCGGCGGAAGTTTCACAATAGACGACATAATTGACACCGTTATATCACAGTATCAAATCACACAGGATGATAGTTCTTCAGAAGAAGAGTCGAATACTGAAAAAAGCGAAGAACTATCATGGAAAGAAGTTGATGGTAAACATTTACACAATGAAATAAAAACCATATAAAAACTTCTTAGAAGTTTTTATATGGTTTTTATTTGATCATTATTCTTGCAACATGGATAACTTTTTCATTTACACAATATTCCAGACGCAAGGTTTATAAATGAGTATTTGAAATGTTTAGTAAAAAACCTAACGATTTTTTTCAACCATTCATAGACGATAACATTTTTGAATTAATCGTTGCAGAAACCAACCGATATGCTCAACAAAACATTAGTAAAGGTATGTATGGACCAAGTGCAAGAATACATAAGTGGACCAACACAAATAAAGAGGAAATGAAAACCTTTTTTTCTTTACTCATATGGATGGGTCTAAAGAAATTACCACAGTTAAGTGATTATTGGTTCAAAAATCCGTTATACGCAAATAAAATATCAAGTTTTATGTCGCGCAATAGATTTGAACTATTACTGGGTAATTTGCATTTTAGTGATAATGAAGCCAGCGACAAAAGGGTAAGACTTTATAAACTAGCACCACTTCTGGAGAAAGTTATATCAAATTTCAAAAAAGTAATAGTGCCGGGTGAGTGTCTGCGCATTGACGAAAGTATTATCCCGTTTAGAGGTCGCCTATCGTTTAGGCAGTACATAAACAAAAAGCATAAGTTTGGCGTCAAAGTGTACAAACTTTGCTTGGATGGAGGATTTACGTATGACTTGCAAATATATAGTGGTCATGACAAAACTCGATATCAATCTGTTCCGGACACTGTTGTTTTTCATTTATCAAAGGACTTATTAGATTCTGGCCGTACAATATATACAGATAACTTTTACACCAGTGTTACACTAGCGCACAGTTTACTAAAAAACGCACACATTTGGTAAGAACTTTGAGGCAGAACCGGAGACATAATCCAACAGAAGTGACAAAAGCGAAACTCAAAGGTTGCAAAGAAAAAGGTTACATAGACATTTCGGATCAAATGAAGTCCTACTCAACTGCATTGCGAAAGTCGGTAAAATGGTATCGTAAGATAGCAATTGAGCTTCTCTTGGGGTCAGCACTTGTGAACTCAGAATATGTTTTCTTTTTCATTTAGAGAATAAAATAAAGTTTTTGTTATTTTTGTA